AGATGGAATATTCAAGGTTGGCCAATATTATTATAAAGGAATTGGATGCGAAGCATTCGAGTACTTTCAAAAATCTGCGGATATGGATCGTGTTGAAGCATTTATAGTTGGTTTTTGTTGTCATCGGGATCGACAAAGAACATAAAACATTCAATTGTTACTAAAAATCAGCTGATGTAAATAATGTCAAAGGAGCATTTATTGTTATTTTAATAGTATTGGAAAAGGCTGATATGATGATAATAATAGAATGCTTTATGTTAGTTATTGTGATTAAAATGAAATTGAAGAGATTTAAAAAAAGTCAATTAATCGTTTCAAAGATAGATAAAATTTTTTTTATTATACTTATTAATAATTCAAAGTAGTGTCCTATTTTAAGATTTTATTATAATCATTAAAAAATAATTAATTTCTTACAAAATATTAAATCAATCGGGTTATTTAATTCAATTTTACTGATTTATTTAAGTCCAAGAGTGGTCCTTTGTATTTATTTATCATTTAATAATTTGATCCACGGCTGCTTAATGTTAGGCACAATTTGCAAGAGATTCTTCATAATTACCATTTTTCTAATGCGTATGCATTATCTGGCTAATTGTTAATGCTTTTTCTAAATCTACAAGTACTTTTTCACGGCTGTAAGTACCTATGAGTGTTTAATATAGATGTATTTGATCCAATTAATAGTGATTCATCAAATCTTAGAAATTAAACCAAAAGAACAATACAATAAAAGAAAATATGTAATAATACCGATTAATGAAACCCATGAAGCTATTAAGTTACTAGGAATTACTGCATCTGACACTCGCTTTGATATTGAGTAGTTGGAGTAGTTGGATCAAAACTTTTATCATCGCAAAAATCATCATTTCTTGCAATTTTCCGTTTTTTTCCTTTTTTATCATCTGGAGCTTCATTATTTCTTTTTTTTCTCTTAGATTCTTTTTCTTGCAATTCTCGCTGTTTTTGCTGGGCTATAGTATCTACCACAATATTACGAGCACGTCTACCTTTTGTATTGCGTTCGACTGTCTTCTCTATATCTTGCTTGTAAATATTGTAAAGTCTTTCCTTCCCAATGTTATAACAGGCAAAAAGCCTATGAAATCCTTCATCGTTATTTTGTGATGTATTTTGAAATAATGGATGACTTGCTGGATCAGACATATTAAATGCTTCTGATAAATCGTCTGTTAATTTCCATGTTGATTCCTTTCGTGATTTTAAATTGCGTTCTGTATGTATAACTGATGGATCATCAATAAAATCACTCAACAATAAATTTATACGTTCCCATTCAAATTCTACTGCTACCATTCTTTCTTTTAGATCTTCATCAGTTCCTAAATGCTTTCCAATATTTTGCTTTACACGTTTTACGCCAAGAGACTCAACAGCCTCATCAATTGCTAGAAAATGTCCTAACCTAGTTATGTTTATTGAACACGCATATTCTAATAAAACTTGTAATGTTGGATCACTACTTATTTGAGCTAAATAATAAACAACGGACTCAGAATAATTGCATCTACCTGCCACCGCAAAAAGAGGAGCAAAAGCAGCCAAGCTATAGTATTGCATATAGTGATTTCCATGTCGAATTCCGATTTTATGACAAACCCAATATCCTGCCCATACGAAAAACTGATACCAAACCCTTAAAATACCATAATTTTCAGATTCAATGCTTTCAATGCTTTTACCATGGTGTTTTACATAAGCTGTAATCGCACTACCCACCGCAACCCAAATTAATTCAATAACTCTGCATGTAGCCGTATAGTCTACAACTTTCTCAAGCTTTTCAAGATAAGAAACCCCCAAACTAGCCGCTAATTGATATATACCATACCCTGAAAAAATCGCCAATAAAGTACTTAACATACATTTGTTTGTGTGCCATCCACCAAGTAATAACCGAATTTCTGGTCTTTTTTCGTGTAATGGTACTAATCTACGAAATATTGCCTGATCCGCAGATATATCTAAAAAATTATTCTCTCCAATACCAACATCATCAAAGTACATAATTATTGCTTTATGAACATTTAAATTATTGCATGGATTGTCCCCAGGTTTCAAAATTACAATATTTGGCTTCGGTGTATTGCAACCTATTGGTACATTTTTTCGAAACTCTGATTTTATATCAAAGGCATCGTAATTTAACCATTTATTTTCGACAAATAGATTAAAAATGTTTTGTAATTTTTTTATTTCATTGTTAATAAATGTTGACTGTCCAACTTGAAAAATAGAAAGTTCTGAATTATAGGATTCTATAAGACTTGATATATTTTGTGGAAGTTGATATTGAGCTACCATTCGGAGTGTAGCGTGGGCTGTTTTTCGTGGTGTATCAAAGATATTGTCGTAGCTAAACGTACTTTCCTGAAGATCAATATTATCGACCATACAAATGTTCCATATATTATTTCCTTTCCATAACTTACTATTTATGTCAACTTGTTCACGGCGTTGTTTTTCCAAATGTTTCTCATATCTACTAGTGTGAGCTACAACGTTTGCTACGCACAATATTGAATACAAAGATGCGTGTAAGCGAGGCTTTTGGCAAAGTGAGCTGAGAATATGGGTAAACCATATATTTAATCCTGGAAACGTAATTGATAGTAACACTGAGATAAAAAATATAGAAATTTTTTTAGCACGTGTTTCATCATAGTCCTTTTCGAAAGTTTTTCTTTCTCTCTGTTTTCTTAAAACAACTTTCCACTTATTTTTTTGAATAGTGTCTATTAATCCATAAAAAAAATTTGAAATTACTAATGGAAACCCATTTTGATATTCCCCTAAAGAATTAGGCATTATTAATTTCTCCTTATTTGCACGAACTTCCGATCTTGAACGCCAAAGTAAAGTCGCCAAAGCCTCACCCATTTGTTTCGGATTTTTTTTAATTACATCACAATATATTTCACTATTTGATAACTTTCTAACATTGACTTTCTTCAATCTAAAAGCGATTTTTACTCCTAAAAAACTTAGTGATGTCGGAATTGCTACCTCTTCTGTAGATTTCTCTTGATGTGAATTCGTATCTTTAGGGTCTTTATTTTTCTTAGTTGTATTACTATCGAATTCTTCATCACCAACATCGTCGTTTTTTGACCTTTTGATACGTTTCAGTTTTTCAAAAAACACCATTACTCCTTTAAAAATTTCATAAAGAAGAAGGCATTGCATATCTTTGTCAGCAGACTCTGATATCTCATTTATCCATTTCGTGATCAATTGAAGTGACTTTGCAGAATCATCATAATGACGATCTGTGCAATCAAATGGAGGGACAGAGCCCCGTTCTTTTCGCTTATACAAATGGCCTTCTTCAAAAGTAAAGCATAACATACATATATAACGTGCACGTCTAGAACTAGACGATTGTTTAGTAAATTCATTCTCTTGAAACACGGGACAAACTTTCAATCCATTGCAAACTATTTGTATGTTCCGATCACATAATTTCCACGAATGTTCTGTACAATACCCACGACTAAATACATACTTATAGTGTCCACAGAATAAACATCTTTTTCGACAAATCACTGCTCTATCGATAGAAACTTCTGTTTTTTGACATTTATGTAATTGTTTGTTATCAAAATTAAAGTGGCTTTTGCAAACCCCTAGTGTATTTAAACCATCACCCTTTGATTTCATAACAATTTTATCCACCGTATCAAAATCCAGCTCCCAAATCCCTCCAAGTTGTTTCAATGGTTTTTCTACAGTATGAGGACATCGCTGTAATGTTCCATTTAAATCGTCCACTATGATGCATGTCCCATTCATCTGCTTAATACCACCAGAATTAAATTCTAGAGTTAATTCATTTTTATCGGTAGCCGTATCCCATGATGATTCTCTATCAGACGTTACATCAAGGTCTTGTGCCAACCAATTTATATCGATTTCATTATCTTGTTCTTGCATTATTGTTGATGACGAATTTGCATATGCCTTAGCTAACCCGATTGCTGATGTATCAAATTGTATATCATATGAACTATCGTATAGATTTATATCACTTTCTGTATTGCCTGTACTATATTTAGACGACAGTGAAGGTGTTGGTTGTTCAAGACTTTCGGAATTATCCCCAATGCTAACATAGTCAAGAATCTCAAAGTCCTTATCAGGATCATTACAAAAAGTCTCTCCGTAATGATAAATGCCAGTTGGATTGTTCATTATAACAGTAATATTTCGTCAGCTAATATTAATTTTATGCCTTAGGTGCCCTTTTACGAGTTGATTCTATTGTGCCTGCTATTTTAATTTAGTTAGATGTTTCCGCTATACTTTGACTTTTTTTTTTTGTGTGTGCAAAAAAAAAAAAGGTAGTAACGAATTTAAAAATTACTTGTGTAACGTTCTTTTAGTTGCCCAGGTTCAATTCGAGATTCTTTAAAACCTAGTCACTCTATAAATTGCAACTTCACCGTTTAAAAAAATAAAAGACTAAAACTAACATTTTTGTTAAGCGCAGTAATAAAATATTTTTCTTAAAAAAAAGTCATTACGGCTTGAAGAGAAAAATTCTGTCAAGTAATATAAGAAATTTGTCGATCATTCAATAAAAATTTAATATAAGTGTACAGTAGCCACCCCTGCAGCGTGACATATCCCCTGACCG